TCGTCGTTCTCCTCGTCGAGGTTGTTTTTTTCTTGCCGCCGCCGCCGCTCTTTCTCGCGCCTTTTCGCGCTCCAGCCATACCCATTCCTAGTTTCGTCTTCGCCTTCATAGCCGCCCATACGGCCGACGCCGCCACTCTCTCGCCGAGGGTCGAATCCCCGGCCCAGATACGCTCGAACGCTCTCGCTCCGAGCGCCCGATCCGCGACGTGCCGATCGGCGAAATCGTCGCTCCGCGAATAGGCGACGTCGTGCTCGCGGTAAGCCGCGTCCAGCGGATTGACGCCTCGATCGCCTCGCGCGAGCCGCTTAGCGAGACGAGTACCGGGACCGCAGAACTGATATCCCGGTATATGTAGTTCGAACGGAAGAGCGTTTATAGTTCTACTGAGCAAACCGCTACCGCCAACGACTGCCGTCGCGGCGTCCTCGGCGTATCTCATATGCCTCGATCGTCGACGCGCTCATCGTCACGCCATTTCCTTCTCCCGGCACATGCCGCAGTCTTTAATGCACGGCGGCGGACCGTCGATGTGCGTTCGTTGCCACGGCTGATTGTGATGCTTGTGACAGAGGCGATAACGCTGCACGTCCGGATCGTCCTGTAGATGTATAGGCAATCTCTCTCACAATCGATCGACGAAATCGCCGTACTTGTCCAGCAGAAGCTTCTTCGGAACGTACTGCAACTGATCGACGCTGAGTCCGAGAATATCGTAATCGTTCACCAATAGAATAAACATGACGAAGCGTCGCGCGCGCGCGTCTGCGCACTGAGACGCAGATTCGCTCGCGACAACGAGGAAAAATCGCGAGGAGAGAAAGAGAGAGAAAACAATGCGTTTTGTGCATCAACCGATCGTGATAAGAGTGTCCAACGTCGACGGTAAGACGCGCTCGATGAACGAGGAACCGCGAAGACACGGTAATCTGTTACCGACCGCGATCCGCTGCGTAATTTGCGGTCCCTTTAATTGCAGTAAAACGAACGTGCTGATAAGCCTTCTTGAGAGTCCGCACGGCGTACGATTCGAGAACGTGTACGTTTACTCGAAATCGTTGCATCAGCCTAAATATCGATATCTGGAGAAATTGTTGAAACCTATGCGGGATATCGGTTACTTCACGTATTCGAACAACGCCGACGTCATCCCGCCTAGCGAGGCGTCGCCGAACTCGATATTCGTGTTCGACGACGTGGCCTGCGACAAACAGGACGTCATGAGAGAGTACTTCGGCATGGGACGTCACGCGAAGGTCGATTGCTTCTATCTGTGCCAATCGTACGCTAAGATACCCAAACATCTGACACGCGACAACGCGAATCTATTGATACTCTTTAAGCAGGATGGCACTAATCTGAAACACGTGCACAGCGATCACGTGAACACCGATATGTCGTACGAAGATTTTCGCGCGCTGTGTCGCGCGTGTTGGAAATACCGATACGGTTTTCTAGTGATTGACAAAGATAGCGCGTTGCACAACGGTAGATACAGGCGAGGGTTCAACGATTACGCCGTGCCGTAGAGCGTCGCGTGCATCGTCGTCGAGGATGAGTCAGTCTTCCCGAGACGGCGGCGATCGTAGAGGGGAGAGAAATAAGAGAAGGCGAAACGTCGAGAAACGACGCGCGATGACGGACGTCGACAGACGCGAGAAAACCGCGATAGAGATAGCGAGAACGCGCGCGTCGATTCGCATGAAACACAGAGCGCTGAAGACCGGAAGGATGGAGAGCGATAGCGCTCTGGAGACGCGTTTCAAACCGATCGTCGAACCGTTGCGACGCATCGCCGAGCGCGTCGGAGACGATTCCGCGCGAGGTGCGAGCGCGAGAGAGAAGGAACCGGCGAAGAGCGAGATCGACAAGACGTTCGCGCGAGACATCAAGAGAACGGAGGCGTCGGAGGAGGAGGACGACGAGGAAGAGGCCGAGGAGCGCGTTACCGCCGCCGTCCACGAAAGGATTCAAAGCTAAGCGATCTCGCCGTCTGAACGCGACGACTTCCACGCCCGTGGGAGCGTCGGACGCGTTCCCGCGCAGCAGCGCGAATTCGCGAGCGGAGACCTCTTTGCGCAGCCGTCGAGGAGACGTTCGAGACGAGCGACAACGTCTTCCTCGGATCGCCGGCGACGCTCGAAACGTCTGTGAGACGGTCTCTGCGGACTCCTCGAGGGCGAGACATCTTGCGCGATCAATTGGGCCTGTTGGCGCGAAAGTACGTGGGCGCTCTTCTCGACGGCGGCGCGCCGAGCGATTTCGATCACGTTTACGGAGTCTACTTTGCCGACGCAGGCACTATGCTCGGGGACAAGCGATTCGACGTAGGCGCCGACGACGCGATATTCGTGGACGGAGTCAGATACGCCGGTACTCCCGGTCTGTACGAATTGATCTTCAAGAGAATTCCCGACGATTTCAAGTACACCGAGAGAGACAAAGCCGCGTACAGGAGCATACTTCTGCAAACTAACGCTCACAGGCGCGAGCACAATATTCGCATGCCCGTACTGGGAAACAAGGGATACAAGTACAAGCACGTTATAGCTCCGATCCTGCGGACGGACAGTCCGAGGAAGAGGATCGGCGGGGGTCGCGTGCCGCGGGCTATGCGCGCGACCCGCGACACCGTGGACTACGTTCACTGGGACGATCCGAACGAATTGGTGGATCGTCTCCGATTGCTGGACGCTTCTCGTCAAGCCGGCAACAACGCTCACGACAACGAGATCCTGTCGATAATCGAGGAGCTCCGCGAGGCGGGCGAGATACTGTGAGACAATCGCGGCAACGCGCGCGCGCTTCATTCGACGACGCGATGTTCGCGAGCAAGTTCGGAGTGTCGACGCGGAGAAGACGCGGTCGCGACGCGACGAGCGCCAGATTGCGCGCGAGCGTGGAATCTCTGCGAAATTACGTGCGCGATAACGCGCTGTGTCTGACCGTCTCTGACGTCTCTCTCTCCGCGTCGCATTACGACGCGCAGCGTCTCAAGATACGAGGAGTGGCCTGGCCGACCAACAACGACGACGCGACGAACAAGAGTTACGTCGAAAGCGTTATACACGCGGTGAGAACGAACGCGGCGAATAATCACCAGCTTATCGCGAGCGTGAGAACGCGAGTGGATAACAACGCGGCCTCGACGAAGAAAATCGTCGCTCTGAGCAAGAAGATCGACGCTTTCGAGAGCGCCGCGACCGAAAGATCGAGCGCTTTGGAAACCGACGTTACGCAGATTCGCGCGAGGGGGAGCGCTCTCGAGAATCTGCAGGAGCTGCAAACGCTGGAGAATCTGCAGGAGCTCGCCGCGACGAGGATTGCGACCGTCGAGGCGGAGAGATCGGCCTCGCGCGTGGTCGCCGACAAGCGACTGGGCGATCTGGAGAGCTCCATCGAGACGAATCGGGCGAACGGGGACGCGTCGAGCAAACTGTTGCGCGAACTGGGGACCTCCGTCGCGCGGCTCGAGGAGATCGATGAGAAAACGGAGAAGCGAGTGCGCGCCTTGGAGAGATCTCTGTCGCACGTGAACAACGTAGCGGCGAACAACGAGAGAAATCGAGCCGCGTTGAGCGGTCACGACAGAACGCTGCAGGAGTTGACGGCGAAGGCGCTGGCTTCCAACGCGAAATTGCGAGAACTGGACGCCGAGGTGGCGCGTCTGAGGAAAGACGCGAACGAACTCGCGAGAAGAACGGCCGCGACGACGACGACGGCGACGAAGGCGGCGGCGAAGGCGGCGGCGGCGGCTGCGATTCCTAAGACGATCGATCCGAATAAGGTAGTCATACAACTGGGCGCTAAAACTCCTGATAAGTAACAGTCGAAGAAAGGGTAGAAAAAAATAGAGACGGCGAGATGAGCGCCGCGAAACGGAGACTCGTGAACGAGCTGCACGCGCCAGCGAGAAAGAACTTCCCCCGCCGCCGCGTCGCGGTGCGCGGATGCGACGATCTGTGGCAAGCGGACGTCGTCGAGATGCGTCCTTACGCCGGACGGAACAGAGGCCACAATTACATACTCACCGTCATCGACGCTCTGAGCAAGTACGCGTGGGCGGTACCGCTCAAGAGAAAGAGCGGCGACGAGGTCGCTCGAGCCCTGTCGAGCGTGACGCGCGCCTCCGGACGTCGCTCGAGGAATCTGCAGACCGACAAAGGAAAGGAGTTCTACAACGCCGAGGTGCGAAGATTCGTAGATAGACACGGAATCAATCACTACTCGACGTATTCGGTGCTGAAAGCGTCGATCGTCGAGCGTTTCAATCGCACGCTCAAGAACTCGATGTGGAAGTACTTCACGCTGAACGGAACGTACAAGTGGCTCGACGCGCTGCCGCATCTAATATCCGAGTACAACGCTCGCAAGCATTGAACCATCGGGATGCGTCCGATCGACGTGATGCCCGCTCGAGCGTCGAGACTCCTGTCGACGGTGTACAGCCACCCGAAGATCGCCGCTCCGGGAAAATTTCGACCGAACGATCCCGTGCGCGTGAGCAAGTACAAGACGCTGTTCGAGAAGGGATACACGCCGAATTGGACCGCGGAGATCTTCCGCGTAGCCGAGGTGCGAACGACGAATCCCGCGACGTATCTGCTGAAGGATTCGCGCGGCGAGCCGATAGCTGGCGGATTTTACGAGCACGAGTTGCAGCGAGTCTCCGATCCCGACGTGTATCTCCTGGAGAGAGTGCTGCGCCGGAAGGGCGACGCAGTTCTCGTGAAGTGGCTGGGAATGGACAGGTCGCATAACTCGGTGGATCGACAAAGCCGACATATTGTGACGAATATACGTATATTTTCGCGTGATATTACAGACGAAAAGATACATCGCGCGTATTGTAACACGTCGCAACGAATATATATTTGTAATATTAAAGATAAGAAAATACATCGCGCGTATTGTAACGCGTCGCAACGAACATATATATATTGTATAACATTAAAGATAATAAAATACATTACGCATATCTATAAAATACATCACGCATATCTATAAAAATACGTCGCATAGCGCTTAAGATCTATCCGTGGCTCTCCTCACAGAGGTATCCTGTAGTGCCCCCACGGCAGAGTGTCGGTCGAATCCGGCACGACGTAGCGCTTATCGTCGTACGGACTGAGCGCGACCTTCGACTCGCGCACGGTGTACACCTCGTGTAACTTGGATCTCAGGCACGACTGCTCGCGAGTCATCTCGATCTCGCGTCTCAGACAGCGTTCGTAATCATCGAACGTCAGTGTTCTCGCGACGACGCTGCTCCTCACGCCCTTGCTCTTCTTAGTGTCGCCCCTACCCTCGACTCGCAACGCGTACATCTTCGCTCTGAGTCCGACGAACTCGAGCATGAGAGCGCCGTTGTTCTCGTCCTTCATCAGACCGAGAACCTTCTTATTCGCGCGCGGCACGCCGTATGGATTGTCGACGGCGTAATCGCTCGTGTCGAATCTATCGATGTCGCGCTTCATTCGCTCGTACGCGTCCTCGCACTCTATGCTATAAATGAGACTGTCCGTGTCGGTGTACAATATCTTACACTTATCGCCGTAGACATGTATTCGTAGTGAAACGCGTACAGACGAATCTTGGATATATCGAGAATCAACATGCCTACGTAGATCGGTTTGTCGATCTTCGCCTCCAATTTGCGCAATTCCACGGCCATGAGATTCTCCGAGAATACGCTTCTACTGTGAAAATTCGGCTTGGAGCGTCTCGGCTCCGAATCGCCCGTCCCATCGAGTCGCGAGTCGAACGTCCACGCGATTGCGCATGTTCTCCATGGTCTTGCCGAAGACGGCGTTGTTTATCAACTTGTACAGATTCTTCTCGAAATCGTTACTCGCGTTAGTGCGTAAACGCGTGTTAAGTTCCACGTATCCGCGTAACCACGGCGACTGCGAGAAGCGCAGCGCGCGATGAATCCTAATCAGACGCAGACCGTACGCAGACCAGACGAACGCACTGCTGCAGATTGCGATAGTACGTGACGTATCGGCGCTTATCGTACAGCGTGGCTAGGAGTTTGCTCTGCCGCTTCCCTGGCGGCTTATCGCGCGTGGGACAAAACGGTAGATCGGCGTGGGCGTCGTGCGCGTCGGCCGGATAGTCGAGATCGACCTCGAGAATGTAGCCAACGGTCGAGTCCTCCGGCACGGACATCACGTCGAGTCTCTCGAGATCGTCGACCCACTCGAATCGCTCGTACGGCAACGGCTGACACATCGCCCAACCGTACAGATTGTTGATATCGAGATACATCAGATAGATCGACGGTCGCGACAGATTGTACGCGCTCATGTACTTGTTGTTAGCGCGAGCGTATCTGTTGGAGCACTGACTCAGACCGCCGCGTATTCCGCGTTCCACGAACATCATCATATCGATATCGGTGAGCAGCTCGAAACGGACCCCCGTGTATCCCGTGTACTTAAGCATCGTGTCCCACGTGTATCCCGGCAGCGTGAAGTAGTACGCGGGATCTAAACCGTAACTCTCCAAACAAGCGGCGCGAAAATTTTCGAACACGTCCGCGAGCAGAAGAACGTCGGTCTTCAGATAGAGATCGCTATACTCGCCCAGGATTTCGACGCTAAATCGCTTCCAGACGCGCGTCGCGTGCGCGTAATCGCTCTCCGATACGGTGTCGCCGGTCAGAGAACTGTAGAAGGACTCGCGCGGCAGGAGACGCGTCTCCCGCAATCTCTCGACGCTGTCGACGTACTCGTACGGAAACACGCCCTTGCGCGTGAGAAGCCGGAAGTCGTCGTCCGAGAGATCGCGAAACTCGCCTCGCGTGATCGTCAGTTTGTTCTCGTCGAGATACGACGCCAGCTTATCGAGACCGGCGCCTAAAAACTTGAACGAGTCCACGAATCGTAATTTGACGTATCTGGAACGCGCGGCATTTCCCCCGTCTCCCTCCGCCGCCGCCGCGGTATCTCGAACGGTCTTCGAGAAAGCTATGTACGATTCCTTCGTCACCGGCAACAACTCGATGCTGTCGGGATACGCGTTAGCCACATCCTTGATAATCAAGTGCGCGTCGACCCGATAGATTGTGAAAGAATACGGATATGACGTAGGGATCCTTGTAATTCAAATTACACGCGGAATGCGACCTCTGAAGCGGCCGGTCAAGTGACAATGATCGCGCACGCGAGCGTCATCGGTCTCGAACGGTCTCTCGCACGCGTAACAGCGCGACGCGCTCGCGAATATTTCCCGCTCGTCAGATCCGCCATCGGTACCACGGCGTCGAGGGCGACCTTCGCGCGAAGCGCCAGATCGCGCAGCTCGCGCACGAACCACGCGACGCAATCCTCGCCGCGATAAGATCCGTACGCCGACGCGGCATCATCGAAGGAGCAATGCGTGTAATAGGCCACGCTGTGAACTCTGTGATGCTGAACGATTCTCGTATTCTTGGTTCTCCCGCCCTCGTCCCCTTCCTTCCTCTCCAACGCGCACTCCAGATCGGCGTACACCGCGAACGGAATTCGCTCCTTTCTCGAATGATGATCGAATTCCAGCCACCTGTCGTCCTCGCCGGGAAGAACGATCGCGCAATCGTTCAGCTTACCGCAATCCTCGCTGTGCGCCGACAGCTTCTCGCTCGTGCGAAAGTAATGCATGCATCTGAGCAAATACGGAATAAATGTTAGCTCTATATTTCGCTTTCGCTCGCCAAGATCGAACGCTCACCGATCGCACACGTGCGTCCTGTGCTGTCGCTTGCTCAACTGCGAGCTGATCAGACGAGACAGATTTCGGATACAGGTGAAATGTCCGATTGCGTTACCTTCGCGCGTCGCATCGCTCAAATACAGCAGATTGACGTGTCTCTCCCTCTTTCGATTCGTCAGACGAAGAGGGACGATGCGAATTCCGCCACCGCCGTCCTTCCTGCGTCGTCTCTCTCCGACGGTGTATACGTTCACCGATATATCGTTCAAACGCTCGAACTGTCCGATTCCGTTCAGAGTCAGGATAACTTCGAGCCCTCCAGATTCAACACCTCGGAGTAATGCGGATATCGCGAGCTTCTCTCGCAGTGCTTATCGACGGGATACAGAGCGGCTACCACCGACCACGCGAAACACGCCTCGTCGTCGGATCGCACGTTGACCACCGCTCTCTTCATCTGAATCTCTCGCGGTACTCGCACGTGGCACCCCGCCTGCATGGGATTGTACACGTTCACGTTCACCGTTAGATCGAGTATGCGCGATAGAGCCCATCCGCTATCGCGCTCTTGAAACTTCTCCAAAGACGCAACGGTATCGCCGACGACGCGAGTATCGTACCACTCGCGCAGATCCGTCGTGGGTAGAAGAGGACGATTTCTCGTGGCGATCGTCTTAACGGCGGTTTTATTGCTCGACACGAATTCTCCGTTGAACGTCGTGTTCACCTTAACGCCGCCATATCGACTCATGACGTCGCGCACGCGGTGGAGCACGATGTCCCTCGCGTCCTCGAGAAATCTCAGAGGTTCGATGTAATCGACATTTATCACAGCGCCGGTCAACACGCGTCTCTTGAAAACCGTCTCGACCTCGGACCACGAGAATCCCTCGCGCGACTCGCTACCGCCGCCGCCGTCGTTCTCGCGTCTCGCGACACCCGCGCCCTCGCGCTCGAAGCGTCGCCGTAGATCGTTCCTCGCGCTGATCACTCGCAGGATTCGAGCGACCAGAGAGGTCCTCGCCCCCGTGGAGATTCTGCGACAGGCGACCTCTCGCGCAGAGTCGCGAGACACTCCTCGCATCGTCGCGTCCACGCGCGATAGTCGTCCGTCGTGACGACGTCGCGCGCGCTCTCGAGCGTCCGGCGCTCTTCCTCCCACATGGCCGCGTCCTCTTCTCTCCCTACGGCGATTCGTCGTCCTTTCTCTCTCCTCCCCGCGGGGCCTTATCCACAGCGTCTCGCCTCGCGAATCCACCGGCAGCGAAAACCCGCGACGCGTCCCGGTCACCCGCGTATCTCCGGCGTCGAATCTCGCCGCTCTTCCGCTACACACCAGAACCGTCTCGATCCACAGCTCCTCGCACGCGTCTCGAAGACCGATCGCCCGCCTCGTCGAATAGGTCGCGACGCTCCACGCGATCCTCTCCTTCAACACTCGAACGTAGCGATCGATCGGCGGATCGACGCGCTCCTCGCTCATGACAATTCGCGCCTCAAGCGTATCAAATCGACGCCGCAGAACATATTTCGGCGGAACGGGTACTCGCGACCGCTGTCCTCGCGATCGTAGGTGTATCGCAGAGTTCTACCCGCGTTATCCTCGGGCGGGAGAATCCTGCAGCGCGTCACGTAAGATTAGTTGGGATACCGCAGTACCAGAAGATGTTGAAACAGAATTTAAGGAGTGGCAACAGCATCTCTACTGGTTGAAGGAGTTACGAGTTCCACGGCAAGCCTTTTATCAAAACAAAGACACAAGTAATCTATCATTCCATATATTCGTCGATGCTAGCCAAGATGCGTACGCAACAGCCTTGTTTGCACGAACGACAGAGTCTGAAGGCGTTTGTCCAACTTATTGAGGCTAAATCCAGAGTAGCTCCAATAAGACGGACGACAATTCCAAGATTGGAGTTGCTTGCTGCGACGATTGGGGCGCGTTTATGGCATATGACAAGAAAAGCTTTAAACTTTGATAGAGCAGAAGTCTTCTTTTGGTCAGATTCCACTACGGTGTTAGTGTGGATTCATAGAGATAAACCATGGAATACTTTTGTTTATAATCGAGTAAAAGAAATTTGTAAGTTATCGGATTCAAATCAATGGCGCCATGTACCAGGAAACATGAATCCAGCTGATCTACCCTCGAGAGGATGTACAGCTAAGCAATTGCTGGAATCGCGATGGTAGGATGGTCCAGCATGGCTCAAACTGCCGGAAGGACGTTAGCTTTCAATCCAATATGACTCGAATGAAGTAGAGGTTGACAGCGAAATAAAGAAATCGGCAAGTCGCAACAAAAACAAGATCTCTTTAGACAACGATGTAATGAAAGGAACGTTTATGTTTGTTTTACAGCAAGAGAAGAGCTAGTACATGAAGAATCTATCTAGATATTTAACAATAGTACAGACTATATTCTCCGTTTTGCCACTAATTGTCGAGTTTCTCGCAATACAAGATTAACAGGAGAAATATCGACAGCAGAATTTGTTGTCGCAGAACTCACAGTCCTAAGATTGAGCCAACAAGAATCCTTTAGCGACAAAAACGAACCGCGATTAAATACTTTAGATATATACGGATATAAGGATAATGACGGATTACTTCGGCTGAAATCACCGGTTACCAACCGCTATGAGGATGAATATAATTTTCGGCATCCAATTATATTAAACCAAAAGCATCCCTTAGTTTTAAAGTTAATCGAACATAAGTATCAACAACTTGGTCATGCAGGAGTTCAAATAGTAATGAACAAGTTACGAGAAATGTTTTGGATTCTTTCTTGCAGGACAACTGTACGATCAATCATAAATCATTGTGTAGTATGCAAGAGACATAAGAGCAAAAAATTAGAAGCTATTACTGGAGCTTCTTTCTACCAAATGAACGCGTCAAGGATGCTAGAGTTTTTGAGGTCATAGGAATTGACTACGTGGGACCTCTGTTCTTAAAAAAGTCACAGAAGACGTGGATTTGTTTGTTTACCTGCGCTATTTATAGAGCAATACACTTGGAACTTACAACTTCCCTTTCTACGGAAGCCTTTTTGCAAGCCTTACGCAGATTCATTGCACGAAGAGGTAGACCTTCAATAATTTTTACAGATAACGGAACCAATTTCATTGGAGCCCGCAATTTACTCCATAAAATTGAACAAAGTTCAACGCATCAGCTCAGCACAACGAATAGAATGGCGTCTCAATCCTCCTTCAGCGGCCTGGTGGGGAGGATGGTGGGAGCGCCTAGAATAGTGAAAGATCTACTCAAGCGGATCTTGAAGAAAGCATGTTTGTCTTTCGAAGAGATGAACACAATTTTGTGTGACTGTGAGGCTATTGTCAACTCACGTCCATTGACATATCTCGCAGATGATCCAGCACAGTTAAAACCTTTGACGCCTATAATGTTCCTGCAGGAAGCTTCTCAAAACGAGACATCGGATCTAGACAAATTGGAAGTTAACTTGAGTAAGCGAATGCAATATCTTCAGAGTTTACAGGATAGTCTAAGAAAACGCTTTCGCTCGGAATATCTGGGACAACTATCTCGGCGTAAAATTAAAAGCAGTTGTGTTCCCGTAAAAGAAGGAGACATTATGTTGCTGGGACAAGATAACTTAAAGCGGTTAGATTGGCCACTAGCTCGAGTAATTAAAATATTCCCAGGATGGCGTTATTCGAGTGGTCAAAGTCAAGACTGCCAAGGGCGAACTCATCCGACCGATTCAATGGCTATATCCACTGGAGATATCTTCAAGGATGGAAACTGCGGAAGAATCAGCTGTGGAGAAATTAGATCAAAGATGAAAGCGGAAATATTATTCCACAGAGCACTTCAAAAGAAGTCCGAACACGAAGTGGCAGACTCCACCAAACAGACTTGGATATTAATGTATCGATTTTGCCCTATTTCTACTTATTAATTTTTCTTTTGAGAGCTCGAAATTTAGAGACTAAGACTTAAAGTTTTTACTTTTTTATTTTTCTCTCATTTTTTTCCTTTTTCGAGTCAAGTGCAGAATATAAAACTTTAATATATACAGGGTCTACCAAAAGTGTGGAAACCCCTAAATATCTCGGAAAATATACGTTTTATAGAAAAGTGTTTCCAACAAAAGTTGTAGGGTTTAAGAAGATCTATATACTGATTCTATCAGTTTGACCTTGGATGGCGTCGTCAAGGTCAGGTCAAGGTCACATTGACTTTTTTAAATGACACCCCCTACATTTGATTGCATATTCTTATAGCTTAATTCAAGAGCTTTCCAAAACACTATAATAATGTTCATTTTTATTAAGTACTTTGCGAGTTATGAGGGTTGAAATAATTTCTTAATTTTACATAAACCATAAAATATCTAGTAAACCATTCATTTTTCGATTATCTTACCTTCATACTTTTATGTACAAATTAATGAGAGGAATCAATTGGTGTAAAGAAAACACATAGTTGTTTCTAAGAAAAAATATGTAATTTGCAATTAACAATTCCATATTTTTTCTTAAAAACAACTGTATGTTTTCTTTACACCAATTGATTCCTTTCATTATTTTGTACATAAAAGTATGAAGGTAAGATAATCGAAAAATGAATGGTTTACTAGATATTTTATGGTTTATGTAAAATTAAGAAATTATTTCAACCCTCATAACTCGCAAAGTACTTAATAAAAATGAACATTATTATAGTGTTTTGGAAAGCTCTTGAATTAAGCTATAAGAATATGCAATCAAATGTAGGGGGTGTCATTTAAAAAAGTCAATGTGACCTTGACCTGACCTTGACGACGCCATCCAAGGTCAAACTGATAGAATCAGTATATAGATCTTCTTAAACCCTACAACTTTTGTTGGAAACACTTTTCTGTAAAACGTATATTTTCCGAGATATTTAGGGGTTTCCACACTTTTGGTAGACCCTGTATAAAGTGCCTTGTATTAGAGTTTATTGTTTGTTGAGTTGTTTATGTGTTCCTCTCACAACTCAAGGTGGGAGGATATTAGAAACTTTTATTTTTTTTGTACGGTGCCTTCTCAGATGGCGCATGTAATGTGTTGCCCGGCGCGCGAGTAGCTCGGGCGTTGAGTCGCGCACGCTTTTGTTCTCTCTGTACGTTATGGCGTTAAGTCTATCGCACACAAAATGCATAGAACATAGACATAACATAGCATAAGCATAAAGAAAGAACGCAATCTACACAAATGTGCATAGACATAAGTTTTGGCCAATCAGAATTGAGGAACAATTGAAAATGCGTGTCTCTAACCTATTATTTACAAAAACTCGCGATACGTTCAGCAAATTTGTCAAAATGGACACGAATGATTTGATTTTCACTGCGATAATATCAGCAAGTTATGTTCTTTTACAAAAGCGTAAAAAAGTAAAAAAACGACTATGGATACGACCAATATATGTACGTCGACCACTATTTGATGATTTTCAACATCTTTTTCAAGAATTGAAAGAAGATGCGACAATGTTTTTTAAATACACAAGAATGAATCTCTTGACTTTTAATAAATTATTGGATATACTGCGACCTCACCTAGAAAAAAGAAATTGGAGAGCATTACCGGCAGAACAACGGCTTATTATTATGCTCAGGTATTTTATGCCTTCTTATTGTAAATTTATTATTATGTAATTCTTATTATTTTTACTAATAATTTTGTTTTCTTACAGATTCCTTGCAACAGGAGACCAAGTATCCTCGATTGCATTTGCACATCGCATAGGTGAATCAACTGTATATAAAATTATTAAAGAAACATGTAGAATTGTAACACAAGTTTTAAGTCCTATGTATTTAAAAGTACCTACAGAAGAAGAGTGGAAGAAAATAGCTGCTGGATTTTGGAATCATTGGAATTTTCCTAATTGTATTGGAGCGATCGACGGCAAGCATTTTGTTATCAAAGCACCTTCAAATTCTGGCAGTTTATATTTTAATTACAAAAAAACTTTTAGTATTGTATTATTAGCTGCATGCGATTATCAATACAAATTTACTGTAATAGATTGTGGTGCATACGGAAGTGCAAGTGATGGTGGAATATTTGCACAGTCAGAATTTGGAAAGTGCTTAAACAATAATAATCTTAATATACCTGTAGAAAATTGTAAGTTACCTCTGTCGGATATAGAAATGCCTTATTATTTTGTTGCTGATGAGGCATTTCCTCTATCAAAACGAATAATGCGACCTTATCCTGGACAGTTTTTGAATGAGAAAAAGTCTGTTTTTAATTACCGATTATCAAGAGCTAGACGTATTATTGAGAACACATTTGGAATTTTGGTCTCACGGTGGAGAATTTTTACACGTAGCATATGTTTAAAGCCAGAACATGTAGATGCAATAATAATGTCTGCAATAAATTTGCATAATTTTCTAATGACGGAAAATAACAGTGCAGGCGAAAACATTTACTGTCCTCCAAATTATGTAGATAGCGAAGATCATATAGGAAATGTTATACAAGGTGCATGGAGATTCGGTCTCGATAATGTAAATAATTTGCGACCTACTAATATACATAGAGCGATAAGAGAAGCTTATACTCAAAGAGAGATTTTATCTGAATATTTGTCGTCACCACAAGGTGAAGTACCATGGCAAATGGAATATATTCATAGAGGATACAATAAAGATAAGCTATAAAAATGTATATGATAAACCTGTTTTATATACTTTATTTTACATTATATATACATATGAATATAAACTATATATGAACATGTAATAAAAAAAAAATATATATAAATATATATATATATATATATAAAATAAAATATTTAACTACACTTAATTATACTTAATAATACTTAACTATTTAACTAAATACTTAAAATATTTAATATTTAATGTAACATTTATAATATTTTTATAATAACTAATATTTCTATAACTATATAATAAAATTTTTTGTATTACAGATTATATAATACTTTCATTAGCTGACCTTTTAGTTGAGATTTTTGAGGTTCCGATATTTTTTTTAATTGACATGCAATTGCTTTTGCAAAAATTTCGTCTTCATCTGTTATATCAAAGGATTTATTTTCACTTTTCTTTTCTAAATGTAATGAAACCACTGACGTTAATTTAAAAAAAGAGTCTTCCAACTTATCTGTTGAAGATGTGCATTTATTTTTTTTTGTGAATCTTTTTGGTGAATTTAATGACATTTTTGATGACGAAGAGTCAAGAGATGGAAGTACTAATTCCCGATCAAGTTGAGATGCTGGAAATACTGATTCTCGATCAAGTTGAGATGCTGAAAATACTGATTCTCGATCAAGTTGAGATGCTGAAAATACTGTCTCTTGATCAAGTGGAGATGAAATTTTTCTATTAGGAGAAGATCTTGAATGTGCTGCTGGAGAAATTTCTTTGTTTTTGGATAATGTTTCTGAATATTCTAATAAAGGAAATATTTTATCGTTAGTTGTTAATGCGTTTGGACTAGGCGGTGAAAGAAAATCAGGTGCATTTTGACTAGGTGGTGAAGGAAAATCATCATCGCTATCACATAAGTCTGAAGAAGAAAATGAATACATAAATATTAATTTATCTTCAGTATTGATATATAAAAATTTGCATATATTTTAGAATTATAGCTATATTTGTAATATAGCTATTATTATATTTGTTATATATACAAATATAGCTATAATGCTGGATTCGCACTGCGTCCAATGTCTAACGATATCCAATGACGCAGTGTGAATCTATCATTAAACCGTACTTGTTATATTTGCAGATTTAGGATTTATAGGAAATGGTCTCTTTAGTTTATTATGTTTATGTGGTTCCTTGGCCATATTTTTCTGGGAATAACTATTATCACTATTATTTGAGCAAAATGTAGTAACTGAATAAGAAGAAGAATGGAATGCAGAAGGTATTGATAAATTTGTAGAAGCTATTTCTGATGATGCATTCACAGTTCTTAACGTTGGTTTAGATGATTTATTAATTGTATCATCTTCGTTACTTCGGATCTGATTTCTTAATATATTTGAGGATCCTGCAATTAAAATTATATTTAAAATAACACACACACACGCACAATATTTTATAAATAAATACAATATTATTAGGCCTCGTTTACAATAGAGTCATAAGTCGTAAGTCATAAGAAATTAAACAATCTGATTCGATTACTCTTCTCTAAATTTAACTGTGATTAATTTTTTATGACTTACGACTCCATTGTAGACAAGGCTTTAGTCTACTAACAATATAAACTTACCTAATATTTTTGTTGCCTCATTCGTTTTGATTAGATGTTTGGAAGTTAAGTTGGATATATTGGTTATAGATCTGAATGAAACATTCATACAAACATAGAGAATTATATAAATGTTTTACAAATATAATATATAGTTATAAATATAATAATATATATAAGCTATAAGAATTTTAGCTATAAAAAAACTTACTTCCTACTCTTAACAAATTTGAACAAAAAATTCATTTGTTCGTATAAAAGAAATGATTGTCTCATTGTACTTCCACTTCCACTTCTTGTTTCCATTTCTCGTAATTTTTTTTCACGAGAATATCGCTCACGCAGCCTTGCCCATCTCGTTTGACAATCTGAAGCTAAAGATATAATTAATCTATTTCATCATATTAAACCTATTTATATAAGAAATACATTTCTTCTGATAACAAAACTTGTCGAAAACACAACATTGTCAAAATGACAACACTTACACGCAATGTCAGCACAATGATTGACTATTAACGCAATTTGCTGTTTTTTTACGACAACTGTCTGTTTTCGACAGAATTTGCTATTAAAATATATAATTATTAAAATAAAAGAGGTTTATATATATATATATATATATATATATATATATAATGTATATAAGTAATATAAAAAATGTATTCCATACCTGTTGTGTTTAATATATCTCCTATTTCTTTCCATGAGTTATTTTTTTTAATAATATCTTTAAAATCTCTTGATTCCTTATTATAAAGATGCGGATAACCTTTAACAAGATCCACTAATAACGAATCTTCCTCTCTCGAAGTCATTGTATTAATTATTCTGTTCTCACACATATTTTCTTCATTTTCACTTCTTTTCAAATAATAATTATTATGATCTTCCATATTTTAGCTTTATGAATTTTTATTTATTTTCTTTAATGCAGTCTAGCGTGAACATAAATACCACAGACTTCTATAACGGTGGAACTAGGTTGTCATCCTGGCGGGAATTCATGTCTGACATTTGATTGGCTGTACATAGACCATATGCATAAAAATTTCGTTCTTATGGATTTTTTCATTTCTTATGCACATGTTATGCTTATGCTTATGCTATGTTATGTAAATCAATATGGCGACTTAATACTCGATGCTCATTGGTCCATATGGTCTTATGTTATGCACATGCAGCTATGCAATTTCGTGTGCGATAGGCTTTAGTGTGTATCGTTACGGCATTTTACCTTTGTGCGAATAAACGATCTCATAAAAGTATCAAATCTTTCCATTAGTATTGTCTACTATCCGACACGTTACATGTATGATACTCACTAAACTCGGCGTCGTCCTTCCTTGTCCTTCGTCCTGTACTTCCAGGCAACGAATAATCGTGAGTCCGATCGCCGATAGCGGTATTAGATTCGAGATGCTACCCGCTATGCACACAAGGAAAGAGCCGTATACGTGTGCGCTCGGTCAACTTTGGGCAATAGAAGAGCGCAGACAAAGAAAGAGTCAGCGAATTATTGTCTGCGTTCTTTTATTGTCCGAAGTTAATCGAGTGCACATGTACACGGTTCCTTGTGTGCATAGCCGAAAACGCCGATCACATAAATGTTGATGGCAAGCAAAACACAAAGATAGTCAAATAATTTTTGATATGCACATGTACACGCGTTCTATCAAATCGCTATATTGTAAAGTTATAGACAATGATAATCACACTTTATTCTTCAGTCTTAATATTGTCTTAAAATACAAATTGTAAATTATTTGTATAATTAATGTATAATCTAAAATATATAATAAATTATATATTTGTTGTTACCAAAAATGTTCCAATTTTTGTATAATTTAATACATTTTCTTGAAGGACTTTACATAATAAAAAAACTTTAATTTGACTTTATCTAAGTTTATCTGACAATAAATCTAGTACATTTTAAATATATAGGATTTTAGTATATAAAAAAAACAATTCTACTTACATCTTACATAAGTCTTGCAACGAGTGAGACAGTCTTCCAATTCATATTTGTGTGTACAGTTATAAATGTATTACATATATATTAAATGTAAGAAGCATGTAGTATCTCGCTTTTTTAATAACAGTCTACGTTATTATATGAAGAGTGTTAATTTTTTCTTTTTTTTATTTAATAATTTTTTTTAAATTTTTTTATTACTTTTCGAACATAAATTATATTGTTTAACAAAAACTAATGTTTCACAAATATTTTAATATATTATAATTATCTCATTGAGATACGAAGACAGTTATATATACAGGGTGTCCAAAAAAGATGGAGACCCCGAATTTTCTTGAAAGGATGACGTTTCTGAAAAAAATGTTTTAGACAAAAGTTGTAAGGTTCAAAAAGATTTATTTACTGATGTTATCAGTTTGACATTGAATGGCGTGGCCAAGGTCACGTCAAGGTCACATCAATTTTTTTAAACGAAATACCTTATTTTTCATAACAGAATCTAATAGCTAATGTTAAGAGCTTTACAAAACACTATAAAAAAATTATTTTTTGTTAAGTATTTTTCGACTTATGAGACTTAAAAGTTACAGTATCGTCGGCATTAGCATTACCCAAGGTGTACCGCGTGGAGGTTGTCCGATCGGATTTACACCTCTTGTGTGTGTGTATTGCTGGCGGGACGCAATGTTGATTTAAAAAGCTCTTGACATCATTTGATCAACAAAAGCAAGATAGGTCTATCCGATCAGTGAAGGCAAGATAGAGGACTATCAGACTAATGAAGGCAAGATAGATGAATACATCTGAATTTTTATTTCAGCAGATGTTCAAAATGTGCACCATTTACGGTTTGACAATGTGCTATCCTCCACGCGGTAACACTGGGTAATGCTAATGCGACGGTACTGTAACTTTTAAGTCTCATAAGTCGAAAAATACTTAACGAAAAATAATTTTATTAAAGCTATCTCTTCTGTGTTACTAATTTTAGTCTCCATGATTATTTAATAATTTTTATCCATATTTCTTATTGTATGTAACATAGAAACGTGTATTTAAATTCGAAGTTTAGAAAAAAAAATTTATTTCTCGTTGACAATTATTAAGTATGACGTAAAGATTGCATTCACAGTTAAAAAAATTGCATAATGAAAGACTAGCAAATCTTATCACGGGGAAATCTATATGTAGATTTCCTTGAAGTGTATGAGTGTGATGTTACGTCTCTTTTTCTGTAATTATATGTTTTATACTAATTATATTTTTATAGACGTCTCTTTTGATTGTGATTTATTCAAAATCACTGTTTTATATTTTTATGTGATTGTTATATATTTGTTATATCTGCACGATATTCATTTACATCTTTCCCTTTAATTATATATGAATATTTATATATGAATACCGTGTGCCTACGAGTAATGAGATAAACATAAATGCATTTCCTTAAAATATTTA